TGTATAATGATTAAATCAGGGCATTTAGGATATTCACTGCCTCAAACATCTATCATTTCTTTGTGTTGGTGACATTTCAAATTTTCTCTTCTAGCTATTTTGAAATATATAATATATTTTTGTTAACTATAATCACCCTACTGTACTATCAAGCACTAGAACTTATTTCTTCTATCTAACTGTATGTTTATCATTTAACTGTGGGGAACCTGCAGCCTTCTGATTTCAAGATTGTTCTTTTTTAGGCACCAAAGGAGACAAGAAAAGCTTCATCTTTCTCTGCTGCATCGCTTTTAATAAAAAGATTTGTTACCATAAAACTTGAATTTAGTCAAAAGGCCACACTTAAGGACCTAGAAGGCCACAGGTTCCCTACCCCTCTCTATCTCCATTGGATTAACTTTTCTACCTCTCACATATGAGTAAGAATATGCAATATTAGTCTTTTTGTGCCTGGTTTAATTTACTTAATGTAATGATCTTCAGTTCCATCCATGTTGCTACAAATGACAGGATTTCATTCTTTTTATAACTGAATAATATTCCATTGTATGTATGTATCACATTTTCTTTATCCATTTGTCCATTGATAGAAACTTAGGTTGATTCCGTATCTTGCTATTTTGAAGAGTGCTGCAATAAACATGCGGGTGCAGATGTCCCTTTGATATACTGATTTATTTCCTTGGATAAATACCCCATAGTGGTGTTGCTAGACAGAATGGTAGTTCTATTTTTAGTTTTTTGATGACACTCCACACTGTTTTCCATAATGGCTGTACTAATTTATATTCCCACGAACAGTGTGTAAGACTTTCCTTTTCTCCACGTCCTTGCCAGCATTTATTTTTTTGTCTTTTTGATAGTAGCTATATTAACCAGGATAAGATGATATCTCTTTATTGTTTTGATTTTCATTTCCCTGATGATTAGTGATATCAAGCATTTTTTCATTTACTTTTTGGCCATTTGTATATCTTTTTTAAGAAATGTATATTCAGACCCTTGCCCACTATTTAATGGGATTATT